TAAATAAAACTTTTCATTTAATGTGATAATACTTCCAGTGAAAGTTCCTTGTGGACGAAAACTTGAACAACACTTGTAGAATGATTCAGGTGTTCAGTCTCGACTCGTCAATTTCTTGAATGTACAATGTTTATTCCCTTTCTTTAACTGATCCCGTCAAGACACCGCTTTCTATTTCAGAGTTCAGTTCTTTTACCACCGTCATGTGGTCGAATTTCTCCGGGAAGACATTGAATGTTTTCAAGATCTCCTCTCTTCGATCGCCTTGTGAAGCATAGTACATCTGAACTTGATAGGCGAGCCACTGTGCGTCCAACACGCTCTGTAAGGACGTTGAAAACAATATAATTACGCCAAAACACTTAGGCCCCTCCCACACAACACTGGAGCTGAATTTGAAAACGGAGATTTCGCTCTCAAAACGCATCAAACGTTTTCTTTCCGCAGTACGCCGGAGAAATTTAAAAACGCAACTTTTACCAGTTTGTTTGAGGAAAACTCGGCCAGGAAAATCACATGATTACCTTGACTCCATCGTTTTCGAAAAGCTCCGTTTTCAAAGCGTTTTCCGGCCACACGAAAAGGAAAAGCAGGCGTGTTTAATTTTCCTCCGGTTTGAAGAGCGTTTTCGAAAAGCTCCGTCTTCGTGCTGGATTAGTGTGGACGGTAGGCCTAACCGTGGAAGTAAAGCTACGTTATCAAACTTTCCGGCGTTATGTGGACGCTTCCCCAGATAAAAGGATAAGTGTGGCTGAGCTCCTTTTTCAGTTGAATTGAGGATCAGTCTACAATTTTCCTTATTAATGATGATTAACGTTACTAATGATGAACACAAATAAAACAACAAACAAGCTAACAGGAAGCGCTTTTTCTTAGCGAGCTCGCAAAGTAAGCGCATTGTAACCTTTTGTTTTTGAGAATATTTTAGTGGGAAAAAACACAAAGCTTCTTTTGATCCTTACATGAACTGGTCTGAACAAAAAAAAGTCGCAAACACCTTAGAAAGCAATTCTTAAGATCACACGAAAATTGTCCTCTTAAAAGTTGGTATGACACTGAAACATTTAGGCTGCATTTTGGAAACTTGCTTTTTGTCATCTGTCTCAATCGTTCTGAATCTTAACAAGAGAAGATGAAGATTGAGAGAGTTAATCCGTCATATAGACCTTACACCCAGGGTAACCCCTCAAGTTATTTTTAGATATGGTATCCAGTTCTCCCGTGGAAATTTTACCACGCGCGTTTCGTGAGTATTTTCTCGGAGGATGAAAATGCGCGTAAAGCCCCCTAGGCTGTCCACGCGAGTAAAACTTGCCCCGCACTGAGGATTGGCTATTTCTAGATCTCCTGACTTCTGAAGCTAGGAGTGATCTAAAAATAAGGTGACAGGGATTATCTTGAGAATAAGGCCTGTATGGGAGAATAATATGCTTTCCCTTCATCTTCTCTTGTTAAAAACGAGATTTAATGTACTTACCATTTCATTTGTATCTACCTCTCCAACCATCAGTACTATTCCTGCAATACAAAGATACAGGTACTGTGGCAATATATATATTTTTTCCTACAACAATTCGGCTGTATAACTATAAACATGTTCTCGTTGAATTTACATGTCACACTGATCAACCAAAACTGTTTGCATATTAAGTACACTTTGATCACTCACAGTTGCCATTTTCAGGCTTAAACAGCTTACGTCCCGTCCACACTAAGTCGGAGGAATTGAGAACGGGTTTCACTCTGAAAACGCATCAAATGTTTTCCGTCCGCACTACGCCGGAGGAATTTAAAAACGAAACAATCACCGGTCATTTTGGATTTGTGTTTGAAAAAAAAACTCGGTCAGGGAAATCACGTGATTTTCGCGAGGTCATTGTTTTCAAAAACCTCCGTTTTCAAATTGTTTTCTGTCCACACAAAAACAGAAGCCGGTGCTTTCAAATTCCTCTGGTTTAAAGAGCGTTTTCGAAAAGCTTCAATTTCGTGAGGACGGTAGGCCTAACCGTAGAAATAAAGCTATGTTTTCAAATTTCTTCGGCGTAGTGTGCACGCTGCCTTACTTATGCACCAGCGCTGCAGCAGCATCAACGCTACAAAATGAATTCTGCTGAAGCAAACTTGTATGGTCATGAGCTCAGAATGAAGTTCATTGGAGTAAAGACCCAGATGTACAGAGGGTTATAAGCTATGTATTGAATTGCTATAAGCTTAATTCTGCGGTGAACTTGTCAGTTTTCACTCGACTCTTTGCTTCTTTACGTAGCAGAGTTATATCTGAAATCTGATGGCTATTTTTTGTAGTGGTTCATTATTGCTTGTTTTCCCGCCGTAGAAAACTCACTGTAGCAATATTGTAATTTGTTTGTATAAACGGTAAATGACAAGATGGGTTGTTCAACAATAACATCAACAACAACAACAACAACAACAACAATTTAATTTTACCACAGAGTTAGAAGCGAAATTAGAATATTATACCAAGAGTAAAAACAGAAATGATAGGGGTGTTAGCTACTTGAAATCACCTAAGAGTTAAAAATGTTAGGAAACGAGTTAAGAGAAAAAAAAAATTTGCATGTTTAGGACAGGGACACAAAACAACATGCACAGACACACACAGAATAGAAATAAACACAGTTAAGCTAACTATACCAGCAGTTCTTGTATTACAAAACAGTATTTTTCAACCAGGAAGAGTAATAAACAGATATCTAATGATCTGTTAGTCACATAGTGACATCACACGTACTGTGCTAACCTTTACTATCTCTTAGCTCTGTAAAATGTTTCATTGCCAGCGACCAGGGAGCATTTTCGCCTCGAGTCTGTTGAAGTGAGAAGACATTAAGAACTGTAAAATTTCAATATTAGTGAGTCTAGTTCTTTATATGGGTTTTTGAGAGGGAGGAAACACAGGAATGCTTATTTAAAATCTTGCTGCTGTGGCTAGTACACATGACAGAGCTGTTTAATTTTAATTTAATGTTTCCAAACTCTTAAAAAAGTACATTCACGAGGATTGCGAGGAGAGGTGAAACATTCACAATGGAAGTTTTTTCTTTCTACATACATGTTTTCCGGCTTCGCAATTCTGAGAAGAGAAATGGGGATTTATAGAAATGGGGGCTTGTAAGAGGGAAAGGAAAGGGGTCGTAGGAGAAAACATAGAACAAGGTTCAAAAGCATAATTTTTCTGATCAACAGTCAATAGTCCACTGAAAGTACTTCACTTATAATTAAAATTAAGGCATTCTATAACAAAGGAGGGTAGCGCTTATGC